CTGGTATAGGTTGATGGTGATTAAGATTCTCAAAATTATAAACGACTGTAATACACTTGTAAACTCAACACAAAACATTAAAACTATTAACACTTATTAAGAAGCTCATGCTTAAATTTAGCTTAGATGCATGATCATGTTCATGGTAATAGCTTATAAATAATAGCTTTTCTTTATATATCTTGGATTTCTTAGATTTAGTAAAAGTTATTTCAATTTCTTAGGTATATTCATTACTGTTTTTTGTTTTGCTGGCATTTTACTTAAGTGAGTGTGATTAATCTTGCTCCAATTATCAAAAGACAAGTGATTTTTTTAGAGATATTTACTTGACTTTCCTTAATTTCGTGACGAATTACTGTTAATAATGATGACCCATAACACGTGAAACGTTTACAAATAACGATTTTAACATCTTAAACAATTTCTGAAATGATTGATAAGTAATGTACTCGCCAAATGTTATTATTTTGCTGTGTAATTGCAAGAAATGTATAGATATAATACTGAATTTAGATTATCGTGATTAACCATGTTTAAACACGTCTATTCGCTTAATAAATTTCGCTCAAAACTACACCAGGGTTAGCTATACGTGCTAGTCGCCCCTATTTTTTGAACTGATAGAGAAAAGTTCAACTCTTGGGCTACTTAAGTCGACTAGTGGAATTTGACTGTTATTTTTATAATGCATTCTCGACCCCAAATTGCGAAGCTAGATTTTGCTGTAACGGGATGAGAGCCATGGAGCTTCGAATCCACAGTTCTGCAGGCTAACTATTGGGCCACTCCCGCCTTCTCACGTGGTAAAGAAATGATTAAGGAAACGTAACAGTTGCTCAATCATGGTCAATGCATGTATTCTAAATCTATATGAAACATCAGAATTAAATTTGAAACTTACGAACCTTATAAGGATTTTACAGTATGTAAAAAAATGAAATTTACACTTAATTACAAGGAAGGACATAAATATAAATACAATTTGGTATATTTCCCTAGTTAATTAATTAGTAAGTTAATTTCGAATAGAAAAAAGTTGAAGGAATTTTAATTTAATTATTTGGCATTTCCAATTGTATTTTCAAAGGCGCCTTATTCAAAACATGAGTTAAAAGGCAAAGTCAGTGATCCTAACGTTTAAGCATAGACCTTGAATCGCTGATCAAATAGAGGGCTACTAGTCAGCAGCACCCGCCGTTACACGGACATCCTTAATCGAATAGTGAAATTTACTGATATCTTTATATCGCGGATGTAGCTGAAAGAGCAGAGCATTTTAATCAACATATCGCAGATTTGAACCTTGGATCTTTCGCTTCTCATCCCTGCACACTAACCATTAACAATGTCATGCACACCTGCTTTATACTTTAGACATTGTTTCTTATTAAGTTGTACATTAATCTAAAGTTTCGATTAACACTTAATTTTGGTATAGGCAGATGGTTTCGGTTAACATTTAATTTAGGTGTAGGCGGATGGTTTCTCGAAATTTTAAGTGACTTATGCATTTATAAGTTCAACACAAATAGTTAGTTCTTCTAATAATATGTTGTTATTTTTTTAACAGGCAGACAGAAGAAGACTAAACTAAGGTTGTAACTTATGTTTGGGTTTTACAAGTAAATATTTATCTGTGAACATTAATGAGTTTATGATCTGTACAAATTTATTATTGTTACTTTTCACTTTTGTTTCTTAGTTCACATGATGTTGGAGTAAACTATCTTCTTACAACCCTTGATCTTTAAGACGCTGCAATAGCCGTGGATAGGTCTAAAGTTTAATATTTCAAAACATGTTTGCTCATAAAGGTGCGACATAAATAGGGAAGAATTCCTTAGTTCACTTGAAAAAATCGATATCATTTTTAAAGACAAATATCTGTCAGTTACGTGTTCAATTATTTTAGCTCGTTTACTCTTGAGCTTGAGATGATGAATTAGCTATCTACATCAACCGCGTCATTGCGCACCTTAAATCACTTTTTGGCAATAAGGGAACAACCCCAGGGTTGCTATCACTTTAATCTGTTTATTCTTATTATCTAGTAAGCTGGATCTCTTGAAATGCGTATATTTGTGATGCTGTACGTGTTTCTTGTAGGTCTGTAAGAGACGTGTGGCTATGAAACAAAAAGCGTTTCGCAAGGCCGATCATTGTTAGCTAGTATATAACTACAAACTAGCACCATTCTTTTAGTATAGACGTTGTCTGTAAGTAGGCGGAGAAATCTGAATAAAAGAGCTTTAACAGAACACCATTTTCATTAGAGAAAGTTTGACCAGGTTCTTTTTTTTTAGACAGTCTGACAAGTTTAAGAAACCGTTCTACAGAGGAAATGTGTAAGTCCTTATTGAATATTAAAACATATTGTTAGGTAAGATAATTCTTATCAGCTTAATTTATCTTTCCCAGTTATTATAGGCTTACCTTATACACATGTCTCTAAACGTTCAGAGGAGACATTGAAACATTTGCTGCAGTATACTTTGTAGTTAAACTAATTTTATAATGTTAATTTTTTGTGTAACTGCAGATTGCATGCAATACGACACTAACAGATTAACACCACTATATTACAAAAGATATGCGAATGACACATTTGTGGCTCTTAGAAGTAAAATTGATATGTGCAAATTTCAAGAGTATTTAAATAGTTAACATCTTAATTTTTTAATTTACTGTTGAAGAGAAAAACGAATTCGTTTTACAATTTTTGACACTAAAATAGTAAGTTTAGAGTGTGTGTTTTTAATAGCAAAGCCACATCGGGCTATCTGCTGTGTCCACCGAGAGGAATCGAGCCTCTGATTTTAGCGCTGCAAATCCGAAGACTTACCGCTGTCGCATCGGGAGACAAATCGAGATAATTTATTTAACAGTATTGTTTGTTGTTAAGCATAAAGCACAATGGGCTATCTGTGCTCTGCCCGTCCGCGTATCGAAACTCGATTTTTTTAGCGTTATAGGCCCTTAGGTTTCTGCTGAGCTACCGATGGGGGGGGGGGGTCTTCGAAAGTAAGTTTAACCTAAATTAATATTTACTTATTTACTAGCTTTACCCGACATGTAAAAAATGACGGCTTGGTGTTTTGTGAAAAAAAACCGGGATACCCGCCCTTCCTTCAGCGAGCTTTGTTCACAAAAGGTCCCCCTTCATCACAAAAGACAAACAACCACATATTGAGAAAATGAAAACAAGTTTCAAGTACACTCTCAAATAATCATTAAGTACGGTAGAACTTAAATTAAAAATGATTCATAATATGGGTGTTACACACACAAACCGATAAATGGATTATATATATTAGACCAGTTATCAGGGGTAGTAATAAACAACTCTTGGCAGTAAGAGTACAAGGCCTCACTAACCTTATCACCAAAACTTTGTCGCATAATTTCCCAGCAGAAATTGTTGAAATATACCCGATTTCATGAAGTTGTCTTATTTACGTGGTTCTGTGGTAAGTGGAAGATTATACAAACCCACAAAGGTTATGTGACCTATGAAGTTAGGATGGATTTTACCCCTATAAGCTGTTGTGATCTATGTTGTTAAGATGGATTTTACCCCTATAAGCTGTTGTGACCTAGGTAATTAAGATGGATTTTACTCCAATAAACTGATGTGACCTATACAGTTAAGATAGTTGTTACCTCTATAAACTGATGTGACCTATACAGTTAAGATAGTTGTTACCTCTATAAACTGATGTGACCTATACAGTTAAGATAGTTGTT